TGAATGTTTATCAGGATGTAGTCTTTTACTTGTAAATGCTGGGGCTTTCAAGAAAGGAACTGAAAGAGAATATCTTTTCTGCACGGCTACCTCACATTAAGATGTTTTCCCCACGGGACTTTGTTTGATGTGTGACAGGCAGACTGCATAAATATGTGCTGGAGTGGAATTCATTACTCTTTTCTCTGTGATGGTATAAGTTTATGTCTGTGTTTTTTGAAAGAGACTATCGCAACAATTTTTCTGAGACTCCAATCCAAGCTTACGTAAGAATCACATTTCAGGTAACCAGCCGATGCTGATATCTTCTGATTCCGACACATTAAAATCATGCTGCAGAGCTGCTAAATCAGTAAACAGATTGCTGAGACAAAGGACGATAGGAAGGGTGGGGCCACAATTGGCTTCAGGATGTGACAAGGCTTGAAATGGCTCATTCTTCAATTTTTTAGATAAAATGGATGTGCAAATAATAAAATATCATGATAAAGCTGCTATAACCAGTATTTTTGTTATAGTTGCATCCTTGGTTTCAGAGCATCCTTTTTACATGTTTTCTTTTACACTGGCCTGACTTAAGAACAGGTCCCAGAGTTTAATGGTTTGACAATATCCTAGCCTCTGCTGTTGTGTTAACATTAAAAATTGAATCTTTCTCGTAGGGAAGCCCTAAAGGATTCGTGGTATGACTTAAATTCAGTAGATGTTAATGTGCATGAGCACAACCTTTAAGCTGCAAACCATTTTAAAGCCCTCAGAGGACTGAGATTTCAAAAACAACAATGGCAGAATGCAGGGTATGAGGTGACTCATTTGACCCTAACAAAGGTGCGCCAACAAAATAATCCTTTTCTCTCCTATTTCCCAACCAGGAAGTGTTTTTCCATGTTGTGAGTTTTACAGAACATACTGTTGACTAATGGCATGGGGGAGAATCACACCATTTTTATCTGTCTGTTATATAGAGATTGTAATAAAAATGTAATGTAGATGAAGTAACAGTTCACTCTTTGCTGATACATAATTTATTCTTATTGACATAACTTTCACTGCTCTGTTTACAAGCCACATGAAAAATGTATATTGTATTTTCTTTTATTTAACATTATGACACCTCTTAATACATTGATGTTGCAAAGCAATCTAACAATGTATGTATTTGAAATTAATATTCAGATTTTGTTTACTCTACATGACTAGAAATGTTTTGGCAGATACCCTTAATATCCATAACACAATCTGCAAAATATAACCTCCAGCAAATCAAACAGTTGTCATGTTTGCAATAGGACTCATATTCACATAAAACCAGAGCTTGAGAGGTTAAATGAAGGATAAGATAAAAAATAAAGGTTAGAAAACTAGCTCAGCACAGAAACATGGGGAGACTGAGGGGGAAAAAATAATTTACATGAATAGAGCTGATGAGAAACACAAACTAAAACAAAAAAAAAGATCTAACATAAACTAATTTAGATTATACTGGGAATAGATGACAAGAAATGAGAGTAGAACAAGCTGAAAGGTATAAACGATGGAAAAAAACTGATAACCAAGGATCATGACAACCATGTTTTCATATCGATTGCTCTGTACTCAAACCAGCAGTAACATATTCATGCTAAGGGTTTCTTCATTCTACATATATACACACCTGCACAAGTTAAAATCTTAATTCATGTTGCTTGCTCTTAGGTTTTTCTTTTAGTCACTTCTTAAACAGGAAGCCCTTTACTTTGTTATGGTGTGACTTCATCATCCAGGCTCCATAATACTCTACCTCCTCCAAGCAGCAGGAGCAGTCAGTCACGTTCACACTATACAGTAACATTTAGCTACCTACGCATAACAGAAGTACAGTGGTCTAGGAAGGACCGGAGAGTTATTCTCAGTAAAATTCAAGAATATCTGTGTTTGACGAAGAGTGTGCAGTGTGTGTTAATGTATGCACAGGAAAGACAGGCAGAGAGAGAGAGAGAGAGAGAGGGAGGGAGGAAGGGAAAAAGAGGAGGCAAAGGGGAGGGAGGGTAGATCATGCATGTGCATTATCTTAGCTCCAGCTGCACAGCAGCAGCAAGAAGAAACAGCAGCAGCACAGGAGGGAAGGAGAGAAAGAAAAAAGCAGGAGGGAGACTTTGAGGGAGGGTTATAGTCTCAGGCAAAGGAACAAAAGCTGCAGAGAGCAGCTTTCCATCCTTGCAAAAAAATAACAACGGCGGTGCTTTACAAGGAGGAGGTGGACATGATAGTAGTGAGACTGTAACGGAACAGAAGAAGCTCACTGTAATCAGAGCAAACTGAAAGCAAGGCTCTTCTCTTCTTTGCTCTCCATGTTTTTTGGAACCCAGCATACCACTGCCTGCATCTCCAAACCCAGAAGAGGAGGAGGATGTCTGTGTCAGGGAAGAAGGAGTTTGATGTGAAACAGATCCTAAGGCTCCGTTGGCGCTGGTTCAGCCATTCATCTCAAGGTTCTACTGGTAGTGGCGGCGGAGGTGGCAGTGTGGGAGGCTACATCCAGCAGGATGGCCTGGACCACAGAGGAACTCCCGTTCAGGGAAGGCTGAAGAGCCATTCTCGGGAAAGGGGTATTGGAGGATTACGAAAGACCAGCAGCCCCGTCCACAGCGTCATGTCCCAAACACCTGGACCAACTCCGGTCTATGTCAGGACAGGTCATCAATCTTGGCATCATCAGTCAAACAACATCCAGGGCCTCCAGGTCAACGAGGAGTCTCCAAAGAGCATTTCCTCTTCCAATGCAATGAGGAAAGAGCAAACAAAATCTGGCCAGGAAGATGTGATAAACAGCACAGAGGAACCTGCAGAGGTGGAAACCAGAGACAGGTATGGCTACTGATCCTTTTTGATAGGTTCTAAGATAGTTACTAGTATTCCTTCCTTATTCATTCATAATGTAAATGGCAATAAAGCAAGAACTGATTATGGTATGCTTTTATTTACTTTCCACTGTAAAATAGCAGATTAGCTTACAGATAAACATGAATTATAGGAAACAAGTATAATCCTAAGGAAACATCCTGTGATGAAAAATATGATGATGTTTCTTAATTGGTGATGCGGACAGAATTTCTCTAATCAGCAAAGACACTTAAACAGTTAAATTTGGTCATTTTCTTAGTCTAATTATAAACAGTGCTTTATCAGCTGTTTTATAAAGTTTAAGTGATAAACATGATTAAGAGCCTTCTAATTAGCTAAATCAAAACTACCCGCTCAACTATTTATTCAGTTTGCTTTTGCTAGTCTGCTACCATCATGTCTCACCTGAGAACAGCTCATCTTCATGGGCAACAGTGTGTTAGGCAGGGTAAACCAATAGAGAACCTTTTTAATTATTCATTGAACTAAAAGCTGGGGCCTTCACTGCTTCCTTCTTTTTAATATTGTGGTCTAGATCACACACTATTTGCTCCTTCATTTTATTCCTCAAAGCACTTTATTTTTTTATATGCCACACTAATGCTTTTCCCCCCATTGAGTTAAAAGAGGATAGCGGGAAAGATTCATTGCATCATGTATCATCTCTCAAACCTATAAAAAGAGGCGGTTGTAAAATCACATGAATTATCCAGAGAGTCAGCCACAACTAAGTCCTTTTAGTGTTGAGAGCTAATACAGCATCAGACTAAATTCCTCCTTCAAAACCAGATTTTCAGTGAAAAAATCTCTTCTTTTGCCTTCAAATGCTTCACTTCATCCATACCTTTCCTTTTGATTCTACATCTTCTTCCAGGAAGTAAACAGGTTAGAAACGTACGTGTGTCAGCCTGTTTGCTTGCACACTGTCTTGCAGAACGCCAGGAGCAGCTGACACTAAAGATGAAAAGACAAACTCTCCTTTTATCTTGCCTATGACATTCTGAGGTGATTGGTCCTTAAGCTCTGCTGATTCTTGTGTGCCTTTGTTCTGTGCACCTGGCAAAGAAATGAACAATGATGGTAAACCTATCCCTTTGTTTTAGATAGAGCTCATTGTGTGTGTTTCAGAATGCGTAGTGTCTAGCTCTACAGTGAAATAGTGTCAGTGTGGATTGAGTGAATGCCACAGGCAGTGGATGGCTGCGCTCCCTGAACTGAGCATGAATTATTCCGAGTTAAGATATGGCTTTAAAATCAAGTCCACATTCTTCTCTTCATGTTGGCATAATTGGCAGATGTTCATGTTTTGGAGTCCCTGTGTGTAAAAAGTGCATGCATAAAAGATGTGCCTCGCAGTGAAACTGTGTAGCTCTCAGGCTCCTAGGATCGTTAAGTTCATGTTGGCCGGCGTATTCTGGTAACAATACTGAATTATTGAAATATTTGTCCTCAAATGAATTGTAAAATCTATCCTCGGGCATTTGGGAGATGTATTCTCTACAACACAGATATCAATTTTCTTACTAAACAGTGTTAGGCTTCTTAATTGCCAAACACAGAATCAATTTATTTCTCATTTGATCACGGTCAGTGAAAGAATAACTCGACCACCCTTTTTGTAGGAGGTGTCTGTTTTATTTCTCATGCATTACAACAGGAGAACTTGAAGAAAATGAGAGTGGTCTGATAATTTTAGAAGTATACTGTATTTGTTTAATCAGGATGTCTGGGATTTAAAGTGATCTCAAAAAAGAGCTGTTATAATGCCAGGTTTCTGCAAGGTGCAAATTAGCCCATCCTTGTATAATAAATCTCAATAATAACAATTCTGTTACAGAGACTAAAAGTTGCAATACTCTGGTTGCAAAAGTGAACACAAAACCATTCATCCCTCTTCAGCGTTTCAACATTTAATGTTCTTGTCTATGCACTTAACATCAATTATAGTGTCATTATTAATGATTAATAAACTTCAGCTATTTTTTATAGGATTTAAGACTATTGCTGGTTTGTATCTATCCAAAAGCAGGGTTTTGCATAGAGGTTGGCAAATCAAAATCCTTTTGTTGAATATACCATTCTGTTTTCCACTTTTGACTCAAAACCTTCAGTTGTCTGTTAGAAAACTGAGATGCAAAGTGTGAATATTTTTTCAGTTTCCAAACCTATCTCCAAATAAACAATGGAATGACAAAATCTACATAAAAAGGTTTGGGGATGGACCAGACAGGGTTCAAAACAAACATTCTAAAAGTGGCCTTTAAAGCAAGCTTTTACACAGTAAATTAGATTTACACGATTTCTGGAAAACAGAGTTAGAAAAGCATTAAGTTAGGATGTGAAAGACTGACAACTCCCACTAAAAGAATACTGAATATTGACATCACTTTAAAAGATTTTTCAACAAAGCCTTAGTTTTTCCTCCAATTGAATTTGTTTGCTTGGTTAAACGCTAGAGGATATCTGTCACAGTAATGATATTTTCATATGATCTAACTTTATTTTTCCTACAAGGAAACTAGCTTTTGGACCAGCCAGAACGATCAATTAAAATGAAAAAAGTCACTTCACCAATAGCTTTGCATTACCTCCATTACTTTTTATTCCTGATCACACCTCATTGAAACTGTATCTTTGGTTTAAGCTCTTCATGTTGTGATGTACAACTAAAGCCCAAATTAGACCAGTGACAGTGTGACACATCATGGCTCATGCATTCATCTGTAGCTAAGCAGATGTTGATGGCACTGAGATATGTACATTTATTTACCTCACCAGCTGGGTGGCCCTATTACGTCTCACATCATAAATCCCTGACACGTAATTTGTCACATTCTCTCGGGCTGAAACTAGAGAACGCTTCTATTTCTTGTCAGAGAGAGAGAGAGAAAAAAAGAAATTTCAGCTTTAGTTTAAAAATGTGCCAGTCATTTTTCGGTGCCTCTCAGTAATTAGTTAAATTTATGCAATTGATATAAATAGGCCATCCAATCAATGATTTAATTTTTTTAATCATTCTGGCTTCCTGCTTTCAATGTTTCAAACCGCTGTCAAGCTGAATTAACTGATAACATCTTTAAGGATCCTATTGGATATGAACGTAATAATAGTTCATATAATAATAATAATAGATCCAGCTTTAAATGCAGAATTTAGTTTGATGATAAAGTTAAACCTTATCTAAAAAAAAAAATTACATAAATAAATATCTTCTGTGTTTTCCGCGTATTTGATATAAATAAATTTTTTAAAGGACATCATGACAGTTGAGGGGTTATGAACTTGAACTTTTATTTTTTTTCACATTTTGTCAATTTATTACAATATATGGGTATTTAACTGACTGATCAATGCTAGGTTTGATTAAAAAATGTGTAGCATATATTTATAATCACACCTCCTGTGACAGTGCCGAGTTAAACAACCTTTCTTCCTAATTAAATTAAAGTTACAAATCTTTGCTTATTATAAATTATACTATTTATACTGTCTTTCTCTATCTATCTATCTATCTATCTATCTATCTATCTATCTATCTATCTATCTATCTATCTATCTATCTATCTATCTATCTAT